CCCCCCCCCCCCGTGTACACTATATGACATCCAGTAGATTTCTAGCGGGAACCAATCATAGGGCTGCTGACGCGTCACCGACTAGCGGCTATTAGCACCTTGTTTCATGTAAACGCCATGAACTCAACCAGAGCGCGTATATTGTTTCTTGTTTACATCAGTACTTGTTTACATCAGTACTAAGTACTAGTACTTCCACAATCAGTTAGTAAAGTCATACCTTAGTAAAATCTACTTTCATAAACGAATCAAAACGGGACTGTAGACATTAAGTTTTACACATTCAAATGGGGCTGCGCTATTGAAGCGACTACTACGTACGGGAAGGAACGGATCTTAGCGAAGCGAAGCCGAGATTTGTGAACCAAACCCAACCCATCGAAGACGGGCCGCCAAACATAAAAATGGAGGGAAATGACAGACAACAAGCCAACAAAGACAACATCAACCAGACCAACAAACTTGGAAAACACCACTTCAAGCGCTAACGGTGTAAGAACTGTGGAACCTCAAACTAGTATGTTTGCGTCAGCGGAAAGGCTGTCGAAGTAACCACTACATGAAAAACTGCGGCGAAAAAGTAACATGGGTTCGTCCCAAATCTAGACGCAAGTGAGCTACAAAAGTAATAGAACCTATGCATCTTGCTTGTTGCTGTCAACTTACCCGTTAAAGATTGAACCGATACATGTACGTACTATAACTTGCCATACCCGGCCAAAGACGACTACATTACTGTTACTCTTTATTTTGTGCTGTATAATGTATATGCGTTACATATAGCCCCTAGCCCCCTGTAGTAGTTTTATTTAGTGTTTTTTCCTATTATAACTCATACCAATTATTATCATTACCTTATTTTCATTGTCATTAACTTATACCATACATTATTTCATTATCCTTATTGTATTATTTCCATTTTCTATTGTATTATTTCCATTTATTAATTATATTTAATTTTGTATAGTTTAGAGGAGGAGGGCCTAGTATAAGCACGCCATGCTTCTCCCCTCCTCCTGCACCTGTTTTATCATTCTTTTATATTATTATTGTCCGTCTTGTTCATGTGCAAACAATAAAATAAAAAAAAAATCAAATCTATCATTGTCATTTCTGTGAATTCCTTAAAACATCTACTGTTAGTTTGTGTAACATTACGTAGTGCTACAATCTGCGTAAAAAGTGGGCTTCATTACGTGTTATCTGCTAAGTCGTGTTGGTATTGAAAACTGTTTTATTGTGCCGTTAACGTTCTTCTACAAACAGCCAGCAGAATTATGAAGATACTCGTTCTCAATACACATGCTGCAAACTAAAGTAATGGCAGTCCTACGAAAATTCTGTTTGTAATGTATAAGCGCTTTATGTCGACGTACAATGGGTGTGAAATACATGTTTTCGCCCATATCGTGTGCCACCGGCTCGGTGATAATTGGCTACTTTACAAGTGAAAGAACCGCGTCCGTGGGCCTTGATAAATTATTCAAATTATTCAGCAGCCCTCTGATTGGTCCCCGCTAGAAATTTACTGGATGTCATTCAGTGACGAGCCGCCCCCCCCCCCGGCCCAAAATATTTGAACGCACTCATGACACGGGCTGGCGGGAACGCTGCTTGTAAGTCTTAGGAAGACGAAGGTCAAGGTCAAATATGGGCCTCCTGGTGGATGACCTTGGTACTGCAGCAGAACTCCCGGTTTTTGTATCTTTTGTCCTGAACATGCTATGGTCTTGTTACCTCAATGAAAAATGGAGGTATTGTTTTTGGCGTGTCTGTGTGTTTGTCTGTCTGTCTGTGTGTGTGTCTGTTTGTGTGTGTGTGTGTGTGTGTGTGTGTGTGTGTGTGTGTGTGTGTGTGTGTTTTTGCACATTTGTAGTCAGCATAACTTCATACTTGGGACATCTGTAAGATAATCAAAAGTTAACATCACGATGCATATATTTTTTTTAATGCAGAGGTCATTTTCATAATTAAAGAAGAAATTTACATTTACATATCAAGCCCATATTTCATGGAGGTATTTAAACTGTGAGTTGACTGTCAGCGCACTCTTTAAAGTTTTCTAACCTGTTTGTCCCTCCATGTCGCACTGAACAACCATCGGCAGGGCCCCCCGTCCTGGTCCGTCAGGGTCGATCACGTAGAACGCCTGGTTATCAAACCCACTTCTTCCCGCTACTTCGGTGCAGCTAGACGGTAGATTGCAGGTATCTGTTTTGGAAAATCAAGAAAAAAAACGAATACAACTTTAGGTTCGTGCATTTATTGTGATGTTACCAAAAGAAATAGGATAGTGAGGGTTTATGTCTACTGATGTCTCCATAAATATTTCGGAGTTAGTGGTGAATGTATCAAAGATGTAATATACAAAACATACGTTACCTCCTGAACATGGCATGGGGGTGGGCGTGGTCTCGGTTGTATTCTCCAGGTCTGACACCCTCTGTTCGAGATCCTCACACTTCCTTTGTAGTTCATCTATTTCTGTGGCTTTTGGGAAAATGCACCTATTAGTACCTGTAGATTAGTAGAAGCATTTATGGATTATGATGATATTTGGTATGTTGGTAAGTCTTAGGAAGACAAAGGTCAACGTCAAATATGGGCCTCCTGGTGGATGACTTGGTACTGCAGCAGAACTTCCGTTTTTTTTGCATCTTTTGCCCTGAATATGCTATGGTCTTGATGTTTTGGTGACAGATTGCTTTTCCTGTCAGGAATAAGTGGTGTGAGGTTGGTCCTCTAGCAGCTTGTTCTGGAACAGCAGGGCACTTTCTGGCGAAATCTTTAAAAGCCAATAAGTCCAGAAAGAAACAAGAGTTCCGAGGATTCATACCTCCATGAAATATGGGCTTGATATGAAAATTTCTTCTTTAATTATGCAAATGACCTCTGCATTAACATGATATATGCATCGTGGTGTATGTTAACTTTTGATTAACTTACAGATGTCCCAAGTATGACATTCCCATCATTCACCATTAATCAACAACGTATTTTCATCATTTGTGGTGTGTAGGTAGCTGAGAGAGAGTTGTACATAATTAAATCCAAATTATGCAAATGAGGACTTAATTTGCATAATTGATTGGGAAATTCTATAATTACACTATTTCGCATAATAGTACTTTCATACATTTAATGTATGTAATCTACGGCAGGTCGAACATCAACAGATACCAATTATGCAAATGATGACCTAATTTGCATAGTTAATTTGAAAATTGATTTGCATAATTAATGAAGACATGTTACTTGAAATATTTTCAAAAGATAGGAATTTCACAAGCAAAATATTATAGTTGGAGTAAATTAGAAAACCATAAATTTAACTATACTAGATTATGGTAAATGTGATATTATATTTGAATTAAAATGATCCCTCGAAAAACATTTACATAAACTCTATATATTTCATGGAGGTATGAAGTCTCAGAATTCTTGTTAAATTTTGACTCTTAGCTCTCTCGATACATCA